CTTAAACTGAAGAGGCTTTTACTTGTCCTAACAGGTATCTTGCTGTAAAAACTGTCCATTGTAACTGTTCTTTCCCACTGATGGCCGAAGCTTTGCCCCGAGTACAAGATGGTATTTTTCATTGGTACGAAGCACCGTGTTCCCCACCCCAGAGCCTGCCGCCACCACCATCACTGTGTTCAGACAAAGGAGAATCCTCCTTTGTCTTTTCCCCATGCGTGAGAACAAGTTAGTGCATTTGCCATCCTTTTCCCCATTCATGGCATTTCCTTTTATTTTTCTGCCAGTTTGCACCGCTGTTGTTTCTGAATTGCTTGATGATGAGCGGCGAAGTTGGTGTTTAGTTGCTTGTAAAGCTTTTCTTGAAGGAACTTGGTCTCAGAAGCACGTGTGCGTTACCTTCACCAACCTAAATTTTCCAGAAGAGGATAGCGTCGCTGTGCTGGGAGCCCCGTGGCCTGGTTTTCTGTGGAATGTCGTCATTGCAATGAAACGTCGTTGCTTTTTTTCACGTAGTCCGTAGGGTGGGCCTAGCTTAGTTTCCAGGCCGGAGCGGACCCCGCCCACCCCTGTGGAACACCCGGTTTCAATGCGATACTGGCCTTTCTGACAACCGGTTTTCAAAACCTGACAGTCCCAAGAGAATTCATTGTGTTCTCTTTTAAGAGGTGATTATGGATTTAAAAAGAGCCTTTTAAAACAATAGATGAAAACCACATCTGTAATATCTTTTCTGCACATGCCCTCAGAGCATGTTCCGGGTACATAAAGATAAAAACCTCCCATTTTAGAACCAAATAACGTGAGGCGGATCGTGATCGCTAAGTGGCATCTAGACATTTGCCAAATAAATAGCTTTATTTGGGGACTGTTGTAGAATCAGCTTAGGTAATTCTTAATAATTGTACTTTTGACATTTTTAAAAACCATACTTGAGAAAGCAATCTATAGTCTCATTTTCATCAATACTCTCATTCTCAAATATTTAAATACTTCGGAAACCAACTGTGGATTGCTATTTTTTGGGTCAGATTTTCTAGTTCCCTCCTTAACAGGCAGAAAACTTAATTTTAAAAGATGGAAATGACCAACTTATTGACCCATTGAAAATACAAAACAGCAACAAACAAGTGTTGGAAAAGCCTTTTTTATTTTCCCTTGAAAAATGCATTAGAAAATTCTGTCTTCCCAGATTTGCATGAGTTTGTTAACCTTCCATACAATGGAAGAGGTGGGCTGCTGCTCGGCAGCGCCCCCCACCCCCAAGGGAGTAGAGGGGCCTGATTTGGCTTGTCTATCTCGACCTCTGCGCCCCGGCACTGGGACCTCCACTGAGGGGCTGGCCCAGAGGACGCAACCTGGCTGATCCTGCAGATTCAGCCCCCCAGAGCAGGCAGGAGAAAAGCATTACGAATGTATCTTAGAACGACAGAGAAGCACCACCAGTTTCTGGGCTGGGTGATAAATTGAAATCCATAAATATGGCCATGCTCATTTGAAGTCCCATAATTGTTTGTGCCACAAGAATGTGCACGTTTAAAGAGATTCTAAAAAGCAATTATCAGAAATGCCTCCCTTGTGAGCAGTGCCGCTGAGAGCATCTCCAGGCCAGGGGGGTGTCATAAACTCAATCTTCTTGAGACAGATGAGTGGTCGGGAGGGGTGGGTCTTGAAATCATTTGGAAGAGGTTTTTGAGAGTTGATATCTGTAAATACAACTGAATGCCTAAAAAAAAAAAAAAAAAGACTTATTGAAATAGGAAAAGTCATTTTTTTAAAAAAAATCAGAAGCTTCGAGACTTTGAGGGTATGAGTGATCTTTTTCTAATCTCTTTGAACTTCTTTCTACCTATTGCCTTAATGTCCAGGTGCTTTCTCAAAAGATCCTTCCAAAATTGTTTACCTAGAGTCCCTTGCTGAAAGAAACTTTTGTGTTCATTTGTCACCAAGGGGAAAAAAAAGATAAACATACCCCGCCATGAATACGTTCATCGAGTAGGAGTCACCATTTCTTCTCTCCATCAATCCAGGCTGTGTGGCTAAAGCCTGTGACAGGCTGCATGAGGTGAACGGGCTTTCTGAGACCCTATAAATCAAGTGGATACATTTTCTCTGAACCACCATCCTGTCTGTTGACATTTTTGTGACATGGACAACTCCAGTGAAAATTACTACCTGCAATTTCCTTAGCCACTGGCTTCAGGCCCCGCTCTGCACACTTGCCGAGAGCAGGCCCCAAGCAGACCCCAGTCGCTGTGAACCACGTCACACACTGTGGCGCAAAGTCAGAAGAATTTTAATTATCAAACTACCCTCCTCAGCACATCTTGTTCATGACTGGATGGTAAACGAGTCACAGGTTTTTGTTTGCATCACGTCACCTATGCATTTTCTCAGCCTGGAGTAGATTCTCTCACCAGGGGAGAAGACAGCTGTTTTTGCATGAATGCAGCTCAAATTAGCAAACTTGAGCTTCAGGGTTTCAGACCTTTCTTTTCTGTGAATTGCTGATGGGTGTTGAGGCCGGGCTGCTTGGTGTGTAGGGCTTTCGTGGCCTCACTGTTTACATCAACCACCCCCTTCCTTTCTTAGGCCCAGGGAGGATACAAACCCAGCTGAAGTTGTCTCCACCGAGGAGGGACTTGGTGATCTGAATGGGGACCTTCCCCAGGTCATGCGCTGCTCGTACTAAGTCAGGGCTTGCACGCATCTAGGCTCTCCCGAAACTGTCCCCAGGGCCAAGGCTTGTCATGAAGTTCACTTTCATGTCCCCCCACGTTCTGCCGCTCGTTCTCCACGTGTGTAGGGGGCTTCTTCGAGGTTGTTAGTGTCTTTGACATGTGTCCTGCCTTCTTAGCAGGCGGCACCTCTCCTGGCTCTGCTCTCTCATCCTCTGTCTGCTCTGCAAAGAAGTGCCCCCGGGACTTCCCAAGGGTAGTAGCTTTTGACCTTTGGGAGGTGGGAGGGGTGATCCTTGAGTGTGTGGCCCCCTGTTTAGTGCTGTCCGGGGCCTGACAGGCACTGTGTGCTCACCCCCCACTCCTTTCGTCTAGCCTCTAACTGCTTTTTATTCCTGGCTCCATCTCTTTCCATGATGAGGTGACTACTTTGTTCCACATCACTGCAAAGTCAAGGCCGAGCATGAGCTCCCTTAGAACAGCCTCCCCTGGCCGCACGCAGTGTGAGAGCTGAAGGTAAGCCCCGGGGTTGCCAGGCTGCGCTGAACAACTAAAGATGCCTCTCCCGAAGCACCTCACAGATGCATGACGTGTTTTCACCTCCAGACAGACTGCCAGAATTTCTCTTTTCTAATTCCTATTTGTAGTGATAACATTTGTCTCTTTTGTGACTTTTTTATAAAAAAAAGAGAGACTAGTGTAGCACCTTGAAACAATTGCAGTTCTTATTGTTGTCAACTCTATTTGACGAGTTCCGATTTTGCAAAATCATTGTATTCAGTTGTGCACTAGTGTCAATAAAATTGACATTTGTGAAGCAATTTCTGGCCTTTTTCTCCGGGCGGTGCTGGGTCTGGTGGTGTGTGGGGTGACTGGGTCTCTGCTAACACCAGGGCTTCATGTCAGTGGCATATGTCTGTGAAAAATGAGGATTTAAAAATGGGTTTTTAAAGCACTAACTTCTTAGATTTGCCCTTTGCTTACTATTTCTAACCTGTTCTTCAAGGATCATTGCACTGACCCATCGTCGGGGGGCAGGACATCTGCTTGTTGTTTCTCCAGGAGTGGTGGATTTTCACGCCTGTGTTGGTGACCCAGGCAGCTGATCACGCGGGGGCTGGGGCCGGGGCTGGCGGTGGTTTGTCCTTCCCCGTTCAGACCAGGACCAAGGTCACCACCCCACTTCTCCGGCGCCCTTCTACGCTGTCCTATCTTGTGGTTCAAAATGGATCGGAGTGAATCCCAAGGGAGAGGATAGAGATCCAGAAAATGGGGTCACACTGCAACACCTCACTTCACCTTCCTCTCAGAGATCCTTGCTAGCGTGCCGAGTAGCAAGGAGCCTGAAACTGTGGAGAATGGAGAAGGCATTTACGTCGTCTTCTTTTAGGATGGTCACAGAAACAGGGCGGGAGCCTGCTGGCACTTGGTTACCCTAGTGGTGGCAAATCTGGCAGAAGGCTTAGGTCAAAACGCAGCGGGTAGAAGTCTGCTTTGAAGCATCCCACTTAGCTCTCATGGATCGAGGTATCGATATTTGCAAAATTCTGTCGGCCAAGAGTTTCATGTGCATGTCTGCGTTGACCGTCGCCCATGTTCACCTTTGGGTGTTGCACATGTTCACGTGATTGAATATGGTGTCCTTTTCAGAGGAGTGATGAAGGACCTGTCACTTTCTGACTCATCAAGGGGAGTTGTGATGACATAATTGCCTCCAGCTTTGCATTTTTAAATCATCACTTTGCATGTAAATGTGACGCGAGTGTTTCTGTTCCAAACAGCGAGACACGCGTGGAGTGACACCACCAGGTACTCACCGGCTCGCTTCTGTCCTTTGTAGAGTGGGGAGGTAGCGCTTTCCTTAGCGGGGGCCCGTGCTCCCCAAGACCTAGTTGGCCTGCGTGCTCCTGACCTGTAGCTTCTGTTAGTGTCTAGTTCTGTTTTCTAGTCATTCCCCACGTCTCCTGTGATAGCGACTCTGTGTCATTCTCCAGTCGTTCTTAGCAGCGAAGCACTAGTTAGGAGATGAAGATGCTGTTGGGGCTTCCATGTGCTTCTAACTGTCGTCATTGTTCTCCCGGCAGCCGTCGCTACCTCGTCCTTCATTACGTGACCGAGGCTCCGTTGAGTTAGTGCCAGCCGGGGGTCTCTAGCAGTCAGGCTGCCGCCCCCACACCAGCTAGCTAGACCACGGTGAATGCATTCCGTTTGCTCTCTGGCAGGCAAGGCTGTAAAGATTTGAAAAGGTCAACGTTGGCAGTAGAAATCAGGTGCCGGCAGAGATTACTTTCTTTTTCTTTAATACTTCTCATCCCCACACAGGCTCCCAGACCGGTAGTCCTCACCTTTCAGAGCTGTCCATCAACTCGCAGGGAGGAGCTCTGCCCCCCCACGTCATCCTGTCTCCCAACCTGAGCCCCGACACCAAGCAGGCGTCGCCCCTGGTCAGCCCGCTGCTGAACGACCAGGCGTGCCCCCGGACGGACGACGAGGAGGAGGGCCGCCGCAAGGTGGGGGCCCCTCCTGCTCCCCACCACACTGCTCCATGCCCCGGGCACCCACTCCCTCAGCCCCCTGCTCCGGGGCAAAGGCCGCTGTGGTTCGGTCTAGCAGCTACTTCCTTCCAGACTGCTTCCCTCTGATGCTGCACAGGCCCAGTTTGGGGGGGCTTGTTCTCAGTGGGGGCTGATGAGGTGACTCCTCAGGACCCTTGATCCGCTGGTGAGATTTACCTGCAAGAAACTAGACGACTTTCTCCTCATTGCAGTCCATCCCTAGTCTGCACCCTTTCCACACAATAGGAGAATAAATAGGAGCTGATTTAGCCCCAGCCCCAGCTGATACAGGGCCAGAAGCCAGCAGTGTACGGCCGTGGGCAGCGGTTTCTTAGAGCCAGGGCTTCCCGGCGCCTCCCGCGCAAACGCGGTCATCATGTCTTGTCTCCTTGTCCGGTGCCCTGCAGAGATTCCCCACGGACAAGGCGTACTTCATCGCCAAGGAGGTGTCCACCACCGAGAGGACTTACCTGAAGGACCTTGAAGTTATCACCTCGGTACGTGTCGAATTTCCCCTGGAGCAGCACATCACCTCGTTTTTCTTAATTAATGCTCCGCGTTAGGGGAGAAGCTGAATCTAATTACATGCCGGCTTCTCAGACTCCAATTAGACGGGGGTTTTGGTCCTCGGCGATAAAATTAGACAGTCACCGTGTATTTGATTCAGAATATGTAAGATTTTTTTATAATTGTGCTTTTAAGTGCAAAGGGAGGAAGCGTCTAGAGTGGAGGCAGTTAAAATTAAGTGTTCCTGCCGGCGGGCACCCGCGCGTGGGGCTCGGGCCTGCCGTGGTCCGGGGGAGCCCTCGCAGATAGAAAGAAGCCTCCTTCCTCTTGGCTAATAAGTGGAGCCGCGTCGGCAAGCCTGCCAGAAGACGGCTTTGTATCATTTTCATCAGTCCCGGAAACGACTCCAGAGCCTCGCAGCTGTCTCTGCCTGCTGGAGTCTGGGAGAGAGGAGCCCCCAGGAGGTCATTGGCTTCTGCCTCGGGTGTGGGTGCACGTGACCCGCAGGTGTAACTTAGCCTCCTCTCAGGGACAGGAGTGACTGTTCTGGCTTCCTCCCTCCCGCGCAGCCACCTTTGTGCTCAGTGTTGTGACAAAGGAGCCAAGATGGCAGGTGTCTGCAGGACGATCCAGGGGGAGTGACTCAGTGAGCACTGGGGACGTGGCCAGGGTGGGTTTCTCTGGGAGTCTCGGCTGCCCCGATAACAGATTTCTGGTGGCTTCCACCACTGATTAGTAATAGATTGCAGGAACAGAGGTGGGTGCAGAAGCAGGCACCGGCAGGAAGCCCCGGCTCCCCCATGCAGCCCAAGCCCTGCCCTCCAGCCCAGGGCGGCCCCAGCTTCTCTCTGCACGGCAGGCTACGGCCCCGCCTCTTTCCCACCTCTGAGCATGTCCCCTTTTCTTCCCAGTGGTTCCAAAGCACAGTGAGCAAAGAGGACTCCATGCCCGAAACTTTGAAGAGTCTCATATTCCCGAATTTTGAACCTTTGCACAAATTTCATACAAATTTTCTCAAGGAAATCGAGCAGCGACTAGCCATGTGGTGAGTATAACCATTGTGTCTAGACGGTGTCCTACGCCCAGCCGCTCCTCTCCTGCTGTAACTACTGACACGCAGCAGTCAAGAAACTGGCTTAAGACAAGTCAGCCTACAAATGACTTTCAGTTAAACTCAACATGTATTTAGATCGCCAGCTTCTTTCCCTTTGGCTTACCATTCTCAAAGCGCATTTCCTTCTGATAATTAAATGGGTGTCACCCAATAAAGATAGTACATACCTCTGAGGTGACGGTGAGGGTTATAAAGAGTCGGGGCAGATAAGAGACTCTTTGAGGTGTTGGTAATATTTCACTCGCAGTTGCTTTGTAGTCACTCGTGAAGCATGCGTCTCCTGCAGTGTTCGGAGCTGCATTTCAGTGTTGCAACAGTGCTTTAAACAATACCGTGCCCTGTACCCCACATGCATGCACTGGCTTTGATGTGTAGGAATTTACCTTAAGAGGGTGTACTTTAATATGTGACATGACATGTATCAAAGATATCCAAAGGTTAGAAATGACCTAAATGCTGTGCATAGCAGGTTGGTTAAACACGGTGTCGAGCATGCCCAGCAAACTCAAAATGAAACTTTAACCTGTGAGAAGGAGAATGCGTCTCCTGTCAAACGCAGAATCTGCCATACCCTTGCTTAAAATAGAACCTTTTACAGGAAATTCTTATGGAATTTTTAAAGACCATTGTAGAGCAACACAGGGGGAGTTGACTGTACTAAATATGAATGTGAAAATACCAGGAGAAAAATAGCAAAAGACTTCCACTGGGTTTTTGACAGAAATGAAAACCACTTAATGTATCTCCACTGCTGGTTGGAATTTGATTTCAGGAAGTCTCAGAGGCATTTGGGGCCTCTCGGGATGGAAGGAGACCTGACAGGTGTTCATGCCCCTGGAGACCCTGGCCCGGGGGCTCAGCGCCATGTTAGCGGGGCTGCTCCCTGGGGTACAGCAGCTGCTGAGGTGGCTCTGTGTGCTTTAAAATTCATGGGAGGCCGTTCACGTGCAGTTCTCCTTCCCAGGATAGGAGGGGAGGCTTTACTGTATTGCCTCAGAGAGGAGATACAGCCAGGATTGAGAGATAACAGGTATGACGTCAGCCTCACTGCAAAGGGGGGCAATTGGACATGCCCCTTCCGAGTCTGCCTCTGGCTGGGTGCTGTGAATGTAAGAGGAAGAACTTTCATCAACGTTTAAAAAAAAAAAAAAAAAAAAACCTTTGACAAAATCCAACTTTATTTTACCTTCCTAAACTTTCCCTGGAAACTCCCGGTTGTGACCTGCCTAGTGGCCTCGTTCATACAAAGGTGCATGTCGTGGCCTCGGGGTGGGGTCCAAGGCCTTACGACTCCCGAGGATCATCGCGCAGGTTGCTTTCTGCCAGTGAGCTGCGCACGGATTTAAGCAGATGTCCAGTGGGCTGGGCCCCTCGAGCCGTTACCTCCACAGCAGCTCAGTCCACGTGGCTGCGGGCCCACATGACGTTGGCAAGGGCACACCTGGGCAGTGTCACTGACTGGCAGAGACCTGACAGCCCAGCGTGGAGGCTCCTCCTGCCGCCAGTGAGCGTGTCACTCTCGGGACGCATGCCAGGCTCTCCATCATGCTGTCACATCCGGCTCTTAGCAGTTGCTTTAAAAAGTAACTGACGTCATTTGTTTCCCACATAGTCTCACAAAATCAATCATTTTACTCAGGCCTTACATGCAGGTTCCAGAAGCATGTGAAAGCCTGATCGAGAGCAGGTAGTCAGTCTGAGGCTCCATCAGCCCAGGCCAAGCTGGTGACGTTAGGGAATAAAGGTCAAAGTCTGCGTCTAAGCCCAGCCGATCGCTCCCTCTAGTGAGTGGTGAGGAGGGCCCGTCTTGGCGGGCACTGGGGGCAGGAGGGCTGAGGGAGAAGGAGCGGAGTCCGAGGCGGCAGGCTAACCCGGACAGGCGCCGGCCACCACCTGTCTCTCTCCACATTCGCCGCTCATTAAAAAAACCACCCGGAATCTTTGAAGACCCTTAGCCGGGATTGTTGACGGAACCACGTCAGAATTCCCGAGCGGGGGGACCTCGGAGTCGGTGTTTTCTAAGGCCTCCCCGCTGGTGCCAGCGCTCGGGCCTGGCCGGGTGGTTGGCTGCCCCTGTAGGGAGAGGCCAGGGCCCGGCAAATGACCCTCCGGTGGGGACCTCAGCCCTGCTCTCCTGCAGAGACTCCACAGTTCCGAGCGTCCCACTGGGAATGGAGAGTGAGGGGGGGCGCGGTGGAGGGCCCCGGCTTAGTTGTCCCGGGGGATGGCTCGGGTCCAAGGGTGAGTTTCCAAAAAGACGCGTGTGTCGGGATGCGGGAGAGGGTTTCCTGGCGCCGAGGGCGGCGGAGGCGCGGGAGAGCTGCCTCTCGCGGCAGTGAAGTACCCCCTCGGGGTCTCGAGATGGGGTTGGCTGCCCATTTCTAGAAGGTACTTCTTTATTGGGGGAAACCCCAAACCTCGCCGTTGGGTGGTCTCCTGGGTGGCGCGGGCCAGGGCTCCACCGGCCCTAAGTCAGATCATTGGGCTGAGGCCCAGGAATGTGTGTTTCAAAGCGCTTTTATGGGATGATTGTGATGGTTTCTGGAACAACTGATGTGGAGGGCTCCCGACAGCCTAAGTGTCCGCGAGCCCTTGACTTGCACTTCACAGCCGGGCACAGCTCGCTGCTTCAGTCTACAGGCCGCGCGCGCGTGCGTGGGGAGGGAGTGTCGGCCTTTGTCTGCTGGGGATTTTGCAGTCTCAGGGGGGCCAGGCACATGGAGTGAGCAGGGCCGGGCCTGCTCGTGGGCATTCGTACCATGCCATATGGGCACAGGGTGTCACTGGTCAGTCCTGCCTTGGAGGACTTGTCAGCCATGAATGCCGGCTCGGAAGAGGCCAGCCTTGAATTCATATGTTGTCGCAGCAGGATGGCACAGGGCAGATCTCTGTGATTCAAGCAGATGGGTGGAGGAGGAGCCCTGGAGCCCTTGGTGGCTTTTCAGGCTTTTACTGCGCGTTTACCAGGTACACAGCAGGCAGGTGTGCTGGGGGGCCGGGAGGCTGGCAGGCCTCCCAGCCCCCAGCAAGTTTTCACTCTTTCTGGGCTCTCCGGTGCTCTCTCGTGGCCTCTGCTTCTCTGCTGGTTCTCCTGGTTCTCTCCTTCGCTCTGCTGGCGTCCCCATGACGCCGCCCTTATAAGCCCAGTCTCAGCCCAGGTGAATCCCATCATCTACCTATGCCCACACCCCAGTCCAGGTGCCCGCCATCAGGCATGCACTCAGGACCGCAGGGATCCATCATCTTTCCTGATGGCGGGAGGGCAGAAGAGCCTGACATTTTCCCTTACCCTACACTAGTATATGGGATTTGGCTGCAGCTGGCGGGAGCCAGCAGGCCAGGGCGAGATGCCCATGGGCACTCAGGATGGGCCAGGGGCAAACACAGCTTCCAAGAAGGCAGCAAACAAGTGGGGCTCCGTGGTGCTAGGGAAGGCGGAGGGAAGCCATCTTTGTGCCTTGTTTACTGGGAGGAAGAACCTGAATTGGAGAAATTAAAGACGTAACTACGACAGGAGGAAGATGTGCTGACTCTGGGCACGTCAGTTTTGAGGGGTGACAGTGAAGCCCCCCAGGCCATAGGCAATGCCTGTCTCAGGCCAGGGCCAGAACTCCAGATAATGAAGTGGATTTAGAAAGTAGCCGCAAGAATGAAATCCTCACGGAAGAGCATGTTGAGACAAGAACCAGGGGCGGCGTCTCTTTGAATACTCCTTTCTATAAATGAAGGCGAAGGTGCGGCAGGAGCAGCGCAGGAAATCGAGGAAGCCACCAGAGTGGAAAACAGCGGAGCTGGAGGGTGCCCAGGCAGAGTGTGCTGTGGAGCGCAAGCTCAGGGGGCAGAGGTGGTGTAGAGATGAGGCTCCCTGGGTGTGGGGGGCTCAAGGTGGGAGCAAACTCCACAGGACAAAGGGAACAAGGGGTGCAGCCAACTGGGATCAGAGGCCCCTCAAGGGCAGGAGGAGGCCCTTTCAGGCTGTGGCCCTCTTGCAGGTTGTGATCAAGGATTTCATAGGGGTGTGGGGGTGGGGGAGGATGCAGTTTTGTAGCAACCTCGTGCTCCGGTGTCTGAATCGGAGGGGACAGCCATGTGTGTCCAAACATTGTTTCACTCCCTGATAATTGTGATTTATAATAAGAGTATGCATATGTGTCTCTGCCCCCAGTTCTCGAAAGAGACCTCCTAAAATTCTGGTAAAGTCCTAAGTAATAAGAGCACGAGGACCATCTTTTGTTCTAACGATGGTCTCTGACCCAAGTTCCTGGCAGAGGGCTCCTAAAACCCTGTGGTCCGGGTGGCAGGAGCGTGGTTTGTTCTGAGTTGGCTCCGGGTAGGTGGCTTCTGGATGGACACTGGTTAGCAGAACAAGCCTCATGGAATTTTCTGCCCTGTTCCTCATCCTCTTGAGATGGGAGAAGGCCTGAAAGTGGAGTTCATGATCTAGCGTGGCTATGGGGTGACTTCTCCATGAACTCCCCAGTGGCGTGGGGTTGAGAGCTTCCGGGCTGGTGAGCACCTGGAGGTGCTGGGAGGGTGGTGCCTCCCATGAGGCACGGACACTCGGCCCTCCTGCCCACACACCTCGCCCTGTGCATCTGTTCCATTGGGGGTCATCTGTATCCTACGTCATAGCCTTTAAACTAGTAAACACAAGCGTTTCCCTGAGTCCTGAATAAATGAATTGAACTCAAGGGGGTCGTTGGGACCCGTAGCAGCAAACCAGGCACCGGGCAGACGGGTAAAGGAATCTTGGGGCTTCAGTGGATTTTCACAGGCCTTCACTGCCCTCCCAGAGACCTGACACAGGGCAGTAAGGGGCGCTCGAACTGGCCAAGGAAGTGCCCAAGTAGTTTACGATGAGAGTTCTTCACCCGCATGCACAATTGCAAGACTACTCAGGTTTAGGGGACAACAATAATGGGATTTATATA